ACATATACACCAAGTATCAAAGCATTCAGGCTTGTAGTTTTCAAGAAGAAGTCGAAAAAGTAAAACATTGACACGGACGACGACGACGACGGACAATCACTCATATGATAAGCTCCGCTCGACAAAGTCGACAGCGGAGCTAAAAATTAGAGAACTAAAGATATCATTACAAAATGAACAAATCTGAGAGAGATCCACATGTAGTACCTATATATGTAATATCAAAGCAATTGGACTTGCGGTTTTTAACAAGAAGTCGAAAATATCACTTTTTACCAAAAATTACAAAAATATTCACCAAAATTAGAGAATTGAAGATATGATCATGAAATGAACAAATCTGAGAGAGGTCTACCCAAGGTACATATACACCAAGTATCAAAGCATTCAGGCTTGTAGTTTTCAAGAAGAAGTCGAAAAAGTAAAACATTGACACGGACGCCAGACACCGGACAATCACTCATATAAGCTCCGCTCGACAAAGTCGACAGCGGAGCTAAAAATGAATTGTGTCCTCCTCACCTTTGAGTGCATTGTGTATCCTATGATTCTGCCATGAATCCTCCAGTAGAAGCATTTGAAGTAGTAAATCTAGATAAGGTCTAAGCTCATAACTATAGGAATATGCAACTTGCCATAATAACTCGCTTAACACAACTGATGAGAAGTGAGGATTTTCCCAACTGCAAAACTGCAAAAGAAAATATACTGAATTAAGAGCAGTGAATGCTAGATTTGGATATGAAATTAATTACATGATCAGTAACATAGCAAACTATTACAAGCTTGCACTTGATTTAGTCTTACAATGTTAATCTAAAACGTCTTTAACATAAAAAAGTGGACTTACCCTAAGAAGCCTAACCGTTTCATCTTGATTGTTACAATCTTCAATAAGTTTCTTGACGTAACTAGCCCTGCCATAGAGAATTTCAACTACTTGTGGTTGGATCAACATTATCGATTGTTGATCACCGTGGGGATTTGATAGAGAAGGATTACCCTGAAAATGAATCAAAATGGAAAAATTAACTTCCTTATGTGCTAGTAATGTTAAATGAGAGGCAGGGCATTGTGTTAGTTACCAAATAAACCCACCAAGCACATCTTGAGTAAGACGACTCAACTTAAGGCATTTCTGTAAACATGACTGAGGGGAAGTCAACACTAACGAAATGACAACATGTACTTGGACTGTAGAGCAAAGTGGATGATAGCCATTTCGATGTATTGGATATGTAAATAAGCGCCCTGAAAGTCCATGCATAAAAAATAATCAATCGATTACTCATTTTGTTCAAAATGATAATTAGCAATTTTCGAAAGATTAGTGGAAAAAGTATCCAAGACACTTTACGGTCATCAAAAGGTCATCATCAATGCCTGGTTAACTCTATTCAGGGCTTTCGATATCACAATAGACGCTGTATTTTTATTATTTAAAAATATGAAAAAAGGCAAATGATCAGATTTCATGATTTGACTGTCAAATTTAGGGGCATTTCCCCCCAAGACTATGGGAATCACTAAACCGAACCAGCTTCCATAGGTCACAGGATACCGGTAATGTCATTTATATGATCTTGTTTAAAGTATACCATAATCAAAGAATAAGTAGTCTTTTGAGATTGCATTATGTGAAACTTACTGTTGATGACTGACATCTGGCAGACACATCACAGCACCTTATCAACAATGACACAACAGAATATAGCTTTCCTAAGTCTGCATACTGGTATTTAACTGGGGGACCAGGACCCTCATCAAGGGCAACTAACATGAATGTGGCAGGAACATTGAGCTTCAGTAACTGTGTTCTCTGAAAATAACAAGCATATCACAGCTTTAGTATTAAATATCAATTTAATCTTATAGCAAATTTCCCAAATGGGTTGTACTCCCATAAAAGAAGTATGGTGGTAATAAAAGGTATACTGCAGTTCACAAGTATAAGTGGTAATGTATGTAATAGAGCGCAAGCAAGAAACACTGTTTTGTTAAATCATTTTTGAAAGAATAAATGATTTTTTCGTATAAACTTAATATTCACACCAATAAATCAGGTCTACTAAATTTTCATCTTATTTAAGTATTCTCCTGAAGATAAAAGTAGTCCCCATTGTGCAATAGAAAACATTTTGAATTAGAAACAAATGCAACATGTGTGACATTGTGTAATGTATGTATACAGTTTAATTGCAATCAGTCAAGACATGTCAGAGGTCTTGCTTTGAAAAGGATTTGCTAATGCAAAATAACGATCAGTCAGCCATTCAGATTCCAACCTAAAAAACAAATGACGTGCATGCATGTATGAACAGTGCCAGTATATTTGAATGCATGACCAAGACATGAAATGCTTGATTTTGATGTACTTTGTAATATTAAAATGGTCACACACACACACACACACACACACACACACACACCAAAAACTGTAGACAGACATCAGGACAAAAACACTGCAATATGACATCTTACCTCAATCACTCCTAGATTAGCATACATTTGAAACAGCAAAAAGTACTGTGTAAGATGTCTACCATGTTCAGATACTTCTTTCTTTAGAAGAGCCAACACAGATTGCAACAGATGATCACTCAAAGTCGCATTGGAATCAATCACTTGACCTAGACGAGTAATATAAATTGAATTTTCAAGAAATGTTACAATTCCATTCTACAAGTTGATAGAATGGACAAAATATTCATTATCACAGTTGCAGAGGCTTTGTGAATTATATGTGACTGTTGTGGTTAAAAATAACAGTATCGGTAATATATTGTTACATATAATAGTGCTCCCACAACACACTAATTCTATATACAATGGAATCCCACCAATAATGCTGCATAAAGTTCCTAAATAGTAAAACAATATGTGTATGCAAAATGTTGCCAGGAAAATGCAGTCAAGAATTTTGGTGGAAAACTACCTGCCAACCTTTAACAGGAAAAATGTTTTATAATACACAATAAAAACAAATCTGGACATATATTGGAAAGTAATTATGAGCAGTCTAAATGCCTTTATTCTATTCGCAATTAATGTCTAACAAATATCTTACTTTAGCAAATTTTTATGCATACCTTGAAAATAATCACAATAATCCTGCCAAAATTTGACAAATTATAAGGGTTTGATTGGATTTTCAAGCTTGAAGATGATCAGATTAAAAAAAATTGTTTAACTTATTGTGACCACAAGACAAATACTATTATAGTATTACCAATATCTTGAAAAGTACAATCAATAATCCCAACATATTTAATAATATTTATCTAACACCATTTCCCCCTCTGACACTAAACTATAAGTTGTTTATGCATTTCGTGAAATTTCACAGTGAATGGAAAATCACTTGGAATGTAATTGATACTAGTGTGTACCAAGTAACGTACCGTACTCGACCGCGTTAGCGCCCAGGGGCCTCAACTCAGAAAATAATGATTTTTTAGGGGTGGGCGCTTACCCGAGCACCCTCCTTCGAAAAAGAGTGCAAATGAAAAATTTTATTCATCAAGTGACAGATTACGTCTTTGAGGGAAAATCAAATTAAGGAAATTGGTTGAGTCGTCATTGATTTTCACAATGAAAAAACAGAAATGATCACAAAAAATATCACATTTTATGACAATATTAATTACGTACCACCAGAATTTACGAAATTAAAAACATTTGAGTCGAAGTCAAAATTGTCATATTATCTACACTGACGAAGGTGTTGGATCGTACGCAAACTCTTGATGAAAATCACTTTCCGCCATGATGCATTTGCAGATTTCACCTGCAGCAGCCTCCTTTGACCTAATGGGTCAAGTTGGTTATTAACCAATCAGAATGCTGTGTTGTACTGACGCAATTCTTCGGAAATTCCCGAAGACTTTCCGGTAACGCAATACGGAAGTGAATTATCGATGACAAAGTACGATCTGTTGGAATTGATTTCAGCGAATAAACGACATGGTTTTTCAAAAAAACTAGTAACTAGCCATTTTTGAGAGGTAAACTGAATATGGCATGAAATATTTACCGCATTTTACTTGTATTAACAGGTTATTGTCAAAGCGTAGTTTACGCATGGTTACCGTATTCTACGCATTCACAACATGTTCACAGCGGTCAATATCCACGCTGTATCATATAAAAACGATTACCAAGATTCGTTACGTAAGACCAAGTTTTAAATTAGTTGCATTTTGAAGGGGTGGGCACTTTGCCGAATGTGACCCTAAATATAAAAATTGCGCAAAAGTGGGGGGTGGGTGCTTGCCCGGGCATGGGCGCTGACGCGGTCGAGTACAGTACAGTACAGTTCTCGCGGAAGCTTTGGCTTTTGTGGCATCATTGTCACCTATGCATGGCATCATTGTGGCATCAGCTTTGCGCCATTGAAAATTGAAGCTGTATTCGCCTCTTATTTTGTGGCATTATCGTGGCCTCAGCTTCGAAGTCTCATGGCATCAACATGGCAACAGCTTCGAAGTATTGTGACATGAGTATGACGTCACTATTTTCACATGGAAAAGCAGTAGAGAAAAACACATGTACAGAAGTTCGATATGTAATCGA